GTTATTAATGTATGTCCCATCTCACTTGCTAGACAGACCTGCAGAGCTGACACCTGAACTGGATGGGACTTAAGGAATCATCTCTTTCCCCATCTCCTCTTCTTCCTATCTTTTATCTGAGCATGCTCAGGTTCTGAGAGTAGAAAGGAGCTGCAATGCATCGCTCAGAGCGAGAGAGAGCTGGACTGCAGTCAGATCTATTACTTTTCCCTTCATCTTTCCTCCTGGGCAGAGACCCTGAACTTCCCACAGGGCTTTGTGCAGGCAGCTGTTTGGCAGTGAGTGGCCCTGAGTTGAGTTCCCACCCCAGCATCGGGCACCATTCTAGGTGCTCTGCTGATTCTCTCACATCCTCCTAACAGTTTTGAATGAGAGTAAGGTTTATCTCGTTTCCTGGGAGACAGACCATCATGAAACTAGAAGGTGAGAGGGGTGAGTAGGACAGAACTTCATACTCTCCTTCTCAGAATCCTCCACTGGTACCTCCTTTTTATTGTTGTTGTGAAACATCACCAAGTTGTTCTGATGCATGGTGACCCTGTATAGGGTTTCTGAGGCTTTAAGTCTTTGTGGGTGCAGATAGCCTCATCTTTTACCTGTTAAGCAGCGCGTGGATTCAAACTACTGGCCTTATGGTTCGCAGTCCAGTGCTTATCCATTGGAGCTAGCATGCTCCTTATCATAATTAGGATAAAATCCAAAGGATTAGGCCCCCAGCTCCCAGCTGCCCCTCAGACCTCACCTTTCTCTACTGCCTTACCCAGCCACTTCCTCTAACGCACCAAGTGTGACTACCCTCAGAGAATCATGATCGCCTCTTGGGGAGACCACTGTCTATCCAGATGACACAAACTGTACCCCAGCCTCATGAGTCCGAGGCTCCTGTCATGCAGGGATCTCATCCTGCCTCTGCTGCCCTCTCCTGGGGTCCATCCCTGGGCTTTGTTATTACTCATATTGCAACCTTTTCATGTTCGCACTTCCAAGCATCCCACTTCTCTACTTTTTCAGTTCATCCTCCTTAGTTGCCCAACAAAAACAATGCTTCACTTTTACCTGACTCTGAATTCCATGGAGCCAACAGATTTTCACAGTCCCTCAACCCCATTCTAAGAAGTCCTGGGGGCTCAATGGTTAATCAAAAGATCAGCAGTTTGAACTCACTAACCACTCCATGGAGCAGAGACATGGCAACTGTTTATGTAAAGATGCACAGCCTTGTGGAAACCCTATCTAGCAGTTCTATTCTCTTCTCTAGAGGCTCTGTGAGTCCAAATCAATGGGTGTGGTTTTGGGTTCATCCATTTTAACCTCTTCTCTATTTCCCCCCTCTCATCATTATAATCGGAGTCCTGGTGTGACGCTGTGGATTAATGCACCAAACTGCAAAGCCAGTTGAACCGCAAGGTCGGCAGTTCAAGCTCACCAGCCACTCCTCGAAAACCCTATACAGGGTCACTATGGGTTGAAACTGACTTTACAGCACTTAACAACAACAACAACATCATTATAATCATGCCTCAATACTATGCTCGGTCCCCTTCATCATACTCCTCCAATCTGGGTACAACCTAACTCAGCCTACTTGTCTGTACCCACAGAGCTAAGCGGGACTGGAGAAAAACACAGTCACATTGACTGGCCTCTCTAAACTCACGGCTACTCATCTCTGTGGTTAGACCTCTGCAGACCGTTCACGCTCTCAATCCTCAGAGGGACATTTCATACCTCCTCTTTCTTCAAACCCCAAAGCTCCTCACACATTCCATTTCATAGAGGGAGCAAATAGAAGTAGTCATGAGACAACTTCAGCAGACTTTTATAGCCACACCTGCTAACTGGGCCAGGACTTGTCTGCTGTTCACACTCTTGTTACTATGAATGGATTCCCCATACTTTTGTGTAATGGCAATCTCTTCATGGATGGTGTAGTGTTCCCTCGTGTGTATAGTATATTTGTCCTTCTCTAGTGGGTATCAAAAGGAGCTCTGGTAGTGTAGTGGTTATGAATTGGGCTGTGAACCTTAAGGTCAGCAGTTCGAGACTACCAGCCGCTCCACGGGAGAAAGATGAGGCTTTCTGCTCTCATAATGATTTACAGCCTTGGAAACCCTGTACAGGGTTGCTATGGGTCGGAACCGACTCGACAGCACTTAACAACAACAAGTGGGTATCAAAGGAGCTCTGGTAATGTAGTGGTTTTGAATCGGGCTGCGAACTGCAAGGTCAGAGGTTCAAAACTACCAGCTGTTTTGCGGGAGAAAGATAAGGCTTTCTGCTCCCGTAAAGTTTTACAGCCTCGGAAACTCTGTACAGGGTCTCTATGAGTTGGAACTGACTCCTCGGCACATAACAACAACAACATTCACCTATAGCAGAATCCTGGTGTGGCGCTGTGGGTTAATGCGTCAGACTGCAAATCCGTTTAAACTGCAAGGTCAGCAGTTCTACCTCATCAGCTGCACCTTGGAAACCCTGTACAGGGTCGCTATGGTTCGGAACCGACTCCATGGCACACAGCCACCACCAGTGGGTACCAGTATCTATCTGCATTTACAAATGCTCCCACGAAATCCCATCTTGATACCCCCACCACCCTCAGCCCTATT